AGTGGTACAAAATGTTTCAAATAATCCCCTGACATGTTTCTGATAGAAAAAATGCAATTCCATTGGGTGCGGGAAACCTACCTTATCCGCCCTCCTCCTTTCATGTATACGTATACATACATCAAAAGAAACCGATAATATATCGAAATGTCATTAAAATAAATCCGTTGTGCCGGCAGAGCGGTAGAACGACAGAGAGAACGGCAAGAATTTTGAAATGCTCCCTAAAGATAACAATAAAGATGAAGATAAAGGTGAAGATAACGATGATGAAGATGATGCACATTTATTAATCGTGAATTACTCCACTTTATATGTCATATGCAAGAATTTTGAAATGCTGCCTTATCTTCATCATCTTTATGGTTATCTTCGTCTTTACCTTCATCTTTATCGTTATCTTCATTTTTACCTTCATCTTTATCGTTATCTTCTTCTTTACCTTCATCATCTTTATGTTTATCTTCATCATCTTTCTCTTTCTCTTTCTTGTCTTGTGGTCACTGTATATTCATTCCAAACGAAATGGATGTACTTTTTTTCTAAAGACTGAACAGCTGCTGAACCGAATCGACAAAACACCGGCATGCCCGTGAAGGGATTGTCTGATGCAATGAAAAAGCCTGTTCTGCAGAATCACATTCCACATTCTGCTTTGTTTCTCTAATCAAGAAGAAATTGTACAAAGATCGGTTAAAATATATTATTTTGTATGAGTGTCCTGCTGTTTTGTATGAAAAAATCATTTTCTTCCCTTCCGCATAGGTTACCTAATGTCACATTTGTATTTCTGTATGCGAAAGTAAAAGATGTGCTATACGCTAAGGCTCTGTTACATACAATAACAGTGAAATTCATTGTTTTTCTTTATTCTATATTTTTCGTTTACTTTAGTTTAAAGTTGTTCATTTAAGAAAGAGAATTAAGAATAGCCATTCTACACAGATGTGGATATGTTTCCTCATTAGCATTTCATTTGTTACCTGTTCATATTCTACTTTTTAATTTGCTAATTGCATTGTTTACGTAAGTATCTCACATACGCTTCATCTAACTAGGCATCAATTGGGTTGTGATTCTTTAAGATTTACAATTAATTCCGTTGATTTCCGTTGATAACGAAAGTTTTTGTCAGAGATAGTGTAAACTTTATTTTAAATTTCACGTTCGAGGTGGTGTAAACTCTGTTTTTTGCATAGTTACTCAGTAATTACCTTGTTACTGTTCTTTTAAATTTTTGGGGGGTACGCGCCCCCCCCCAAAATTCAGGTCTCTGGAAAAACCTATACTATCGACACTTAGTCCTGATTTTGTTGGTATTG